AACCAAAAAAAAAAAAAAAAAATTTCGAAGGGACCAAAAAAAAAAAAAAAAAACCTTTGTTCTTCCCCCACCCTTTGATTCTTTGTTTGGTTTTGTTGCCGACTTGGTTTCTCTTTTGTACACCCTTGGTAACTCTTTATTGAAACCCTAAATTCTGAGTTAAATGGCTGTTAACGTTTGGGTCGGGAATTGAAAAAAAAAAAAAGTTAGATTCAAAATTTTTACAATTGATCGGGAAACTGTTATTGGAAGGTTTACAAAATGGGGCTGGTTTGGTTATGTGTGCGTTTTTACTTGCGTTTGTTTGTCGGAGAAGGGAATAAGACAACCCTTTTGGCCATTTTTAAAAAAGTCGGTTGTTTTACGTTTCCTTGAAAAAAAAGGGTTTTTCACCGTAACCTTTACAAAAATTAGGAAAACAAAAAAAAAAAAAAAAAAAAAAAAAAAAAAAAACATCCAATTTACGGTACAATCGTTTTTATATCGCGTTTTCGTATAAACAAAAAACAATTATGGAAAAAATTGTGTTTACCGGGTACTCCATTGCACCTAATTAAAGACGTGTACGATTTACAGAAAAAAAAAAAAAAAAACAACACGGGGCGTTTTTTCATTACAAAAAAAAACAATACACCTACAAAAAAAGAAACAGGGAAACCTCGGAAACATTTTTTTAACGGTCTCCAAATCGTTTCGAAAAAGGTCGAAAAGAAAACACGAGAAGAAAACTTTTTACCAAAGGGGGACCTTCAACAAAAAACACTTTTGACTTTTGGTTCCCAAAAAAGGTTAACAAACAGGGCGGAGAACAGGGGTCGGCAACCTTTTCGATATGAAGTGCCATTTTAAAAAAAAAATGTTATCAGCGTGCCAACGATTGAGAATTATCAGCAGTGTGTGGACCTGTCAGCGCAACTTACATGATGACCGAATTTAACAGACACATTTAAATAATTGGTTTAAACGGCATAATAATAAGGACGATCGTCCGTTCTGTGATTCTCCAGAGCACACATGTTATGATATTAGGGTCATGCAGAGTGAGATGAGATCGCTGTCCCTTTAAGAGAGAGAGAGAGAGAGGGGTGTGGCTTGTGCATGTGTGTTTGTGAATGGTAGAGCGACAGTGAGGGAACGTGTGTATGTTTCTGGAAGTGAAACGGGAAAGCAGAAAAACAGAGGTCTGTGATGTATTTTGTGAAACAGAAGAACAGCTAAATAAATGCAACGTCCTCCCAAGAACAGCTCGCCTCTCTCCAGTCATTTAAGCTAAAGTGGGGTATTGAACCTGAAGCTTGTTGCTTCTGCCCTCCTCGACTACGGTCTGGGAGCCGACAGGAAAGTTCAACACACAAATGGCCAGTCCGCCCCTTTGTAGCATATTATTTAGATGAGAGATGAGCAGATCGCCACTGGGCTTTCAACTAAACACAGCCACGCAAAAACTGCGTCATTTGTACAGCTCCTTATGGGTATTGCAATTAGTGAAGTGCTTTCCTCCGTGGTGAAACGATCAGCACTGCACCAAGGAGGAAAGCGGCAGAAAGTCACCTGGAGATAAAGAGAGCGGGGCTGCGTTGCGTGCATGGCTTCCTTCTGCAGGTAACGGGGAGACGCGCTCTGGCGGCGGTCTCGCGTTCAGGATCCGAAAATTAATTTAAATATTTTGCAAACTTATTCCACTTATTCCTAGTGTGCCACTGGTTACGGTGCCAATGCTGGCACGCGTGCCAGGGGTTGCCGACCCCTGCACTAGATAATAATAAAAAAAGAATACAACTGCAACATAACTTATCCAAGTAGTAACAAAAACACTTCAAAATATTATAATTATGCATTACCATACTATGGTAATGCATAATTATAATATTTTGAAGTGTTTTTGTTACTACTTGGATAAGTTATGTTGCAGTTGTATTCTTTTTTTATTATTATCTAGTGCAGGNGAAAGTGGACAGTGAGAACAGAGCTTTTAACCCTGCGTGGACTCACTCATGTTCATCCTGCTGCCCACTGGGAGCACAGAACCAGTGTGTCTCATTTGTTCAGAGACCGTGGCGCTCATTAAAAAAACGCCACTATGAGACAAAACACAAAGTGTTTGACCAAACATTCCCTCTCAAGTNTCCTACGCACACGGACGTGTGAGGGGGTGGGCGGAGATAGGTCCTAGACTGATGTCAACTGTCATCATAGACCGTCCGAGCGGTGCATTCCAGGATCAAATCAAGCGCACCGCTGATTTTTTTTTCCTCCTTCAAAATATGCTGGTGTTGAAGCCGTGTCAGAAAAGAGGCAGACTGCTAAACCACAAAACTTAGTCAGAGAGGGCATCAAGGCCACTGTGGCCTTATGGCAGATATCATTTTTAAGGGCACAAGGCCGTGAAATTCCTGCCCTGGCGTCAGGTAAAAAAAGTTATTTAGCCTTCCCAAACCTGAGCCTCACGCGCCGCCTATGGCCGGAACATTTCTTCACATCTCTAAGCGGTTGACCAATCACAACAGAGCAGCTAACATATAGAGTGGCGAAGTCCCTCCCCTTCCGGGGGAGCTCCATGGGACCTTATTTCAGAAAAAATATGTATTGAAGTCAATGGAGAGAGAAAGATTATCTTTTGATCCCGTTTGAATTGTGCCACGAATTACACATATGATATTTGTCAATTTAAAAGATAACTTTGCAAGTCAAAACAAAACAAAATTGTCGTAAAACTGTGAAGTAACACATCTTTTTGTGTGAAACTCAATGAACTACATCTCTTGCACAACAACACAGACGTCACCAAGATGGCCGTCACTACTGTTTTGTCAACAAAACGATTGACTACCCTCACTATCACCACAATGAAACACGTCCAGAAGAATGTCATGCAAAGCTGCCTCCTTCTCTCTGAACTGCCTGATCTTTTTAATGTTTAATGTCAACCATTTGTGCAGATAGCATAAAGTAGAAAATATTGCCGATGGTAATGTAGCGTTAGCGTTAGCATTTCTCCCCCGGGTTTAAATGGTGTATTATAGAATGATCACACCGGTGTGACAGTACTCTTCAAAGGGTTCACGAAATATGACTACTACTCTTACTGTTTAACATTTTGGGTTACTTAATGTTACTTCATGTTAAGGCTAATAAAAATGACACAGCTGTAATGCTAACTAACGTGCTAGCTACTAGCTAGGTAGCTAACTTGATCCAGCCACTCCTTGTCCTTTCATCAGACGGGAAGCGAAAGAACGAGCAAGACCCATTGCTGGTATGATAACAACCTGGTACTAAGAACACAGGCATCTTGTTAAAGTTATCTTATCTTAGCCAGGGCCATATAAATAGATTATATCTATATGGCGCAGATCTTAGCTATCTCTTAGTGGAGTCTTTCTAGTTGCGTATTTTTCATAGTCTTATATTTCAACAGTTTTACGACAAACTGTCACTTTTTTGACATGGAAATGATTTTTTAAGATTGACATACATCATATGTATAATTCATGGCACAATTCAAATGGGATCGAAAGATACGTTTTCTCTCTCCATTGACTTCAATACATAATTTTTCCGAAATAAGGTCCCATGGACTGGAAGTAGATGGGCGTGACTTCGCCACTCTATGAGAGCAGACTGGCCTCTGGTTTCAGACAGAGGGTGAAGAGCTTTTTGAACATTAGAGCATGGAGAAACGTCACAGGACTACACTACACTAGACAGTACATACTAATATGAACCTGAAAATGAGCAGAATAGCCGCTTTAAATATATCCTTGGCTTGGTTGAAGTTGTTAATAGTCCCTTGCTGAATCTGCTGCAGGTGCTTCATCTCAGGGATTGTAAACCTGCCCAGAAACTTTCCATTCCCTGATATCTGAAACCTTCTGTGCCTTTTTTGGGGTATTTTCACTATCTTCCTCAAACTGTGACACTTTTGGGGTTTGCTCCAGACTGTTTTGTGCTTCTTAATTTGGAGTCCCTCCTTAATCTTGTTTATTTATTTTTGTAAAGTTGCCCCACTATCATTCAGCTCTTTAGTGCATCTCCAAATGTCCAATAACTGTAATAAACTGTGGTTTGTCTTCCCAGGAGTAGCAGGGCTTTAACGTGGTTGTTTGAAAAGCACAGTTACTGTAGTGCTCTTGGTCAGCCGTTGTTGTTGCAAATGCAGTTTGATTTGTGTTTGTTGTTGCAGTCCTTGTTGCGATGTAAAACCACATTGGAGGACAAGTCCGGATTGACAGCACTGCTAGCTTCCCCTGAAAGTACCTGGCATCTTAAATCAGTTTCACCTCCTCAAAAAACAGAGAGTAAATCACAGTTAAGCAAAACCAATGACAACATTTGTTAGGTTCCTGCAGTGGTGAAAGACGCAAGATGGCTGAATTGTTATTCTGCCTGCCGCATTTTGTGTCTGCACTGCAAAATAAAAAATGCCTCATGGACTCGTTATGCAAACGCATTTTTTACAACTCTGAACAGATATTGCTTCAGCAGCTGGAACACAGCAAGCTTGGAAAATGTGCACAACTGTTACAATGTCATATGATTACAAAGGGAAATTGTAAAGACACACACACACACACACACACACACACACACACACACACACACACACACACACACACACACACACACACACACACTCAGCCAGCATTGTCTTGCACCAGTGGGACCTCTACAGAAGTTATTGCCAACAGAGCTCACTCTCGATCACTGAGGGGTGTGTGTATGTGTGTGTGTGTGTGTGTGTGTGTGTGTGTGTGTGTGTGTGTGTGTGTGTGTGTGTGTGTGTGTGTGTGTGTGTGTGTGCTATAAAATCAAGAAGACATGGGTTTTTGCTGTACAATAGTATATCAACCTGTTCTGTTTCAACAGCAAAATCCAGATGGACACAAATAACACATTAAGATTAGAAGCTTAATAGATAACTTGCACTCATTATACACTCTATGGAAGACTAATGCTGACATTCTAATAAAAACATATGATAAAGATGTAGAAATAGAGTCCTCAATTACCAAATGTAAAGGCAAGATTAATAAAGCGGGTTGATAAATACAATCTGCTCAGAGAAAAAGGCAAATCATTTAAAGTTATTGTTTTTATTTGATAAATTGCCTTTTTTGTCATATTCTTTTTATTCCAAATGTATTCTTTATTTTTTAACTATTACCCTAATGATTGATTCCCTTATTCATTCGTATCCCTATCTATTTATTGCTCTTTTTTATTTGTGTTTCTTCATCCATATATGAATGAGGGGGCGTTCCTTGATTGCGCTACTTAAAAGTCGCTTAACACTTTATTTTCACATTAGCTTGCATTACATTTCTGCTTTTTTATGCACTTAGTTTACTGGCACATTAGAAGAAAAAGTCAATCGTGTATTGTATGATTTTAAATGATTTGTATTTGATATCTTTAAATGAACTAGCAGCTCTCTGCAGAGGCACAGCTAGAGCAGCTTCAGTATGATCTCTGCTGACAGAGTGGCCGTTTCCGGTGCAATCACACTCACCCACACACACACAAGTGTGTGCACACATCAAAAGCTACACACAAAGACAATCACACTCCCATGCCAAGACAATGGGCTGCTAATCCTTGTTTGGGATTGGACGAATCCAGATTACCCAGAGGGCACCAGCTGTCAGGGAGAGGCAAAGCCCAGTTTCCTCAGTATCACACACACACACACACACTCGCAACAAACGTTAGCATGTTGCTACTTCTGAAATCTCATAGTAATATGTATTTGTGTTACATTATGTTGTGTTTTATTGTGTGTGACCTCACAGTGAAGCTTTCAGCTGCCGTCAACAGGAGCTGTTTGTTACTGCCGTCAACACACTGTAAATATATGAATGTGAATTAATATGACTGTAATGCTAACAGGCGCAACCAAGGTCCAGTTTAGCCAAATGTGGGAGATACCACAGTGTGCTGTGTGTGTTTTATTCTTTGTCCCTTCCACCAACTTATTGTCTGCAGGCTGTGCAACAATCTTTCACAGTTTTGTTATTAGATGTCACAAAAGTATCCTCAATTCAGCCATTGAAAGGCACTTTTTCACTATGACTCAAACCTGTATCTCTGAAGGTAATTGTCCTTAATTTGTTTGTAAAATATCAAATTTTAGGATTTTTTATCCAAGTAAAAAAGAATGAAGTAAAATATCCTTTTAACCAGATTCATCAAATGACACAAACAGCTCATACTACGGCAATAGGAGTGTTTTGCATTGTATCGTGTAATATTTAACATGTTTCAACTTTTGAGTTTTCTAAGCCTTCTGGATTTCTTTAACTTCCGACCCCAAAATCACAGCTTTTATCCTTAATTTCCCCCGTGTGCAACCTCAGAGCGCCGAGCCGTGCCAAACCGAGCCGGGCCAACAATGCAGGCGGAGGGAGGAGACAGGAAGTTAACTGACACACTGTGGAGCAGTGATAAGAGCAGATCCACTTAATACTGGAGTCCAGGGAGAGAGGGGAACAGGGAGAGGAAGAGGAGGAAATGAAAGAAGAGGAAGTGAGATAGAGAGGGAGGAAGAGAATAAATGTTGAAAGGGTGAGGGAAAGAGACACATAGCCAGAGAGAGATTTACTTTCAGTGTGTTGTTGAGAGGCTTTGCGTTGGCCTAGTTTCTGTTCTGTGTGTGTGTGTGTGTGTGTGTGTGTGTGTGTGTGTGTGTGTGTGTGTGTGTGTGCGTGTGTGTGTCTGTGTGTGTGTTTCTAGACACAGTGAAGTCATAAAGCATTATGGCAAGTTTGTCATTGTTCTGGCTGTGGAACACTTACATCTCAGTGTGGATTTCCAGCTGTTAGCGACCACACTTGTGGTTTGGCGTATTATAGCGTTTTTACTACGAGTCATATTTACTTAAGATCATGGCTAATCATTTTGCAAACTGTTATGTTTTAGGATTGTGACTGTTTTGTATCATTCCCCACTAAATTGTAATTCATTATGTAAAGTGAGTGAACTCTTTGAGCTTGCTGGAGTTGTAAAAAACACAAAAAAACAAAAGAGTGTTCCAAAACGATTACGTAACTTTGACCAAACTTAATACAAACCTGATGTTCACAGTGACGGATTTCACAAGTGAGAGAAGTTTGAAGAGTGTCTTCATTGGTTTTCATATTGTAGGAGAATGAACTACTTCCTGGAACTCATGGAAAAATGCATAAACATTTTAATATTGGAAATTACCCATTAGTTTGGGTCACCAAAAACGTTGAGGTTTTGTAAAGGAAAGTCCATGAATCATCTGTTGGATGAAAACGTCTTCAGATTGAATCACATCAACGTTTTCAGTGTCAGACACAACAACAGAAATTTTCATTGAGCTGCTGTAGACTGTTTAATATTGTCTGTTTACTTCCTAATCTCCATCGCTCAGTTTCCCATGTAGTAAACACTGGGTGTCTGGTCACACTTTCCTGGGTGAAATGAGAAACATGTGAAATAGGAAATGCAAACAGTTTCTCTTTCTTTGCTGTGTTTTCTCCAGTTTCTGCAGCTCAACAAGTGGAGTGTAAACTCTACAGCCCTTGGATTTGTGGGAAAGGATTTAGCCAGTTTGTTCCAAGCTGATTTAAATCTCAAATATACAGTTGTAAATGCTAAGACGCTTGCTTGGAAAATCATAATTTAATTTGCACGTGACCAGGAAATGCATTTCCTGATTGGACAATGTCCTACTGTAGAAAGACATGAGGTCACATTTAAGGTCAACAACCTTTTTTTCATTTAATCTGATTACTTTTACAAATAGCTCTGACTCTGTTTTTCCTCAACACTTTTTCCTTACAATTTTGGTATTTACTATGCTGCTATAAATATCACCTATAAAGTTATATAATTATACAGTATATGTTCCTTTTTCTCCACTTCGATTCAGTTTCTAATAATTCAGTGTTTTGTTTCTCTAGCTGCAGTGGTGTAATTTCCCAGCGGGAATCATTACAGCTCCCTACTATCTTTTCTTATCTCACAGTTGTTCTTTTTTGAAAAGCAGCATGTGTCAGGTTTAGTTGCATTTTCATGGAACTGCACATAAAAATGATGGAAATAGAAGAGTGTTCGAATCAGAATCGGGACAGCATTCCCTCTGTGAGTTGTTGAAACATTCTCAACAATGTTTACAAGAATACATGAATGGAACAAATAACTTTTTCTGACAAAACCGCTAAATATAGTAGACATGTTTTTGTGGAAAAGTTGGCACACTGATAAACAAGAACAAAACTTCTTCTTTGTGGGCTTTTTCTGGCAGTGCAGCAGTTTTTGTGCTGCTTCCATTAAACAGGAAACACATTAATTCATCAAAGTGACACAACTTCGTAGAAGCAGTAACATTTAATTATATGAATGAGTTACAAAAACTTTACCATCACTTGTTTGATTGGTGTTACTTTTCCCCAAATATTGCTTAAAATTAGCTCTCTACATCTTCCTTTGGGTCATACCTCAGTTTTAGGGACTTGGCTTTGGAACCGCCTCGTCACCAGTTCAATTCCAAGTATGGACCAAAACGACAGAAACATGATGTGATTGGTAGCTGGAGTATTTCAAGCCTATTGTGAATAGGTCTTGTCTGCTTGTGTGTGCTTGTATATACGACTGAATGAAAACAGAGTTTCCTGTCTTTTTCCTCTACTACTTCTTCTTCTCAGTTTAGAACTCATGCACTGACCAATCTGTTTACGTGTGTTTTTCAGGAACGACAGAGCGGGTGTGTCTGATCCAGGGCACGGTGGAGGCGCTGAACGGAGTCCATGACTTCATCGCTGAGAAGGTGAGGGAGATGCCTCAGAGCACCCAGAAGACAGAGCCGGTCAGCATCTTGCAGCCGCAGACCACCGTCAACCCCGACCGCGTCAAACAGGTCAGTCTGACCCTCTACGCCTCTTTATTCATACAGAGAAATAGCCCTGCAAACGTGTGTGTTGAGGTAGAAGAAGTACTCAGATCTTGTACTTAATAAACATATATAAAACTAGCAGAGTGTAGTTACAAGTAAAAGTCTTACAATCAAAATGTTACAAAAGTACAAAAGTATTAGCATCAAAATATAATTTAAGTACTAATTATGCCGATCTACCCATTCCAGAATAATAAATTTTATATTTAGATTATAATTATTGATGCATTAAAGTGTTATCAAAGCTGGTAAAGGTGAAATGTAACTCTTTGAATTGTAGTGGAGTAGAAGTAAAAACTAGCAAAATATTGAAATACTCAAGTAAAGTACAAGTCTTTCGAAATTGTACTTAAGTACAGTATTTGAGTAAATCTACTTAGTTACTTTACACCACTGTGTGTGTGTTAGTGTGTGCCTGGACATGCCACAGCTGAAGGAGTGTGTGAGAGGGAGGAGAGCGTTTGCTTTGAAACGACAAACTGTGTGTTTCTGTGGTCGAGTTGTGATTTTCTGTTTGAGTGAAGCTGAATGAGGCAGAACATAGAAAAATGACATGCGACCATGCAGACATGTAAACACATGAGAGAGGGAGGCAAACAGAGAGGGGAGAGAAATAAAGGGGGAGACAGAAAGACATGGTGATTGAGAAGATAAGACAGGGAAGGAGGAGGGGAGGAAGAAGAAAGAGAGAAAATGGGAAAGATAGAGGGAAGAAAAATCAGCTGTCGGGTCGGGAGAGAGATGACATCCACTCAGACAGGAAACTGTGTGAGGTGTGAAGATGTAATCTCACCATGACACACACACTTCTGCTGCACGCACACACACATATGTACAGAGAGACCTAAACATCCACACACTAACTGGAAACACTCCTGCTGAGAGAGGAAGTGTGTGTCCAGATCGCTCTGTCATAAATGATAAATGTCAAAGATGTCTGCCAAAAAGTCTGTTTCTGATTGTACCGGTGACGCACAACTGTAAAAAGTTCTAACCTGGAAATGGCTTCAATTTGTCTAAAATATTTCTGCAGGGTGATTTAATTTAACATGAGATAGTTTTTCCAGATTTTCACGTCATTTTGAGTTAGGTGGACAATCAGAAAATAACACTCAGAATAGCTGAGAGCCTTTCAGCTGTTTTCAAAACAAACTTTAAAGTTTTTTATTTTATTTTATTCAATAGTTCATTAAACTGCTGAGTGTAAAGTTAAGTACATCTCAGTGCCAACAGCAGCTCTGTAATATAGGATAATTAGTGTGGACATGGATTATGATCCCAATCTCTGTAAGTGATTATCATCATTCTCTCTTCATGATTGCTCCATATTGATTAGTCAGGTCTGGCATTGTTTCCATCTATTGACTGTTCAGGCCTGCTTAACAGTGCATTCAACAAGGCCTGTGGGCACACACACACACACACACACACACACACACACACACACACACACACACACACACACACACTTCTCATACACACATCCTTGTCTTTGTGGTATTGTGGAGGTACCATACCAGAACATCTCTTGTGGGGCCCACATTTTCTGAAGCGGTTCTAACATGAGAGCCCCAAAATTTGATAAAGACAAAAATACCCCCATACCAGTCCAACACTTTTAGGTATAAACATATGGAAAAATAGTACAATATAGAAGTAATGACACACATAAAGTATTCAGATGGAAATGATGAATTGCTGACCTGTGCATATTTATTTCCTCCTCTGAGCTTTGGTGTTGCATGAGTAATGTGTATGTTTTCCCCTGCTGCGATCTATCATCCTCTCTCATGAGCAGAATTTGGAGGTGTGGGNCTCCTGTGGGGATTGTCCACAGTATTGAGTATGTAAGTCGCTGGATAAAAGTGTCTAATAAGTGACATGTAATGTGCGCGGAGAACTGCGCTGAGAACTGCGCTGAGAACTGCGCACAAACCGAGCTCATAAGCCGAGGCCCCCTACGCGAGGTCCCCTGCGCAATGTGAGGCCCCATGCAGCCTGCATGATCGGCCTGTAGGGAGGGACGGCCCTGATCTCAAGCCTTAGAGGGCTGATCACTGGTGTTCCTCCAGGCTTGTAGCCAGCATTGCAGGAAATCCCTTTAAGTGTTGGATGTTTGAGGCCACTGTGCAGGTCAGGCCAGTTATTCCACACTAAATATAGGTTGTAGTTGCCAGGCAACCAGTGGAGAGTCCAGGAAGTTACTGCTCAGAGTCTGAAAGTTTGCAGTTAGTTAAAGTTAAAGTTGTTAAATTTAAAATAAGGTGTGGGACACAATAGGCAAAAACATTTTTCACATTACATTTTATTTTGGTTAAAGTGGACCTGTCATGCTATATTTGAATAATATATTGTAGGGCCATACCTATATAAAACATGTCTGCAACGTTTTTTTTTCAAAATACCAAACGGATCATGCCT